TTGTTTTTAATTAGAATTTAAAAAAATCGGGATTTTTTTTTTTTTTATTGTTTCTAATTAGAATTAGAAATATTTGCAAACTTGTATTATTTTTGTGCATAATTTGTTCTTTTCGATTTCTCTGTTTCTATTTAGAAAGAAATATTGGAAATTTGTACTAATTTTTAATTTGCAATAATTTGTTTCGTTTTCCTGTTGTTTCTAATTGGAATTAAAATTAAAAATGTGTACTAACTTTGGTGCATTATAGTAATTTATTTATTCCTTTATATTTATATAAATATTAATTCAAAAATATTTTGGAAATTAATAATAAAAATATTTTAAATGGTAACTAATTTTTAATTGACAATAATTTGTTGTTTTTTTCGATTTCTAGAAATCAGCTGTTTGTAACTGAAAGTATGCAAATATATTTGGAGGATTATATTAATTTTTATACAAAAATGTTTCATATCGATTTCTAATGTTTCTAATTAAAATTGAAAATATTTGTAAATTAATGTTAAAAATATTAGGAAATTGGTACTTGTTTCTTTTATGACTATTATTGAAACATTGAAAAAGTCATCCCGGTCTCCTTATCTGATTTTATATATATATATATATATATATATATATATATATTGTATTTACCTAAATATTTTTTGACGTTCTTGGAATAGGTATAAAATAATTCGTTAATTACACAAGTCGAACCAGTTTTGTTTAAGGCCTAAAATACTAAAAATACAAAAAGCAAGTAAGCAATTCTCTATGGCAGAGAACAACATTATATAAAATTCACATTTATACATTAGAATAAAACATTTATACATATGTGTATATAATTATATATGTATAAATTTATATCCATGTGTAAAGTACAAGTACGACCGATATAGTACAATGTCATGATCTTGTATTTTTATGAACAATTTATTAAGTTTTTTTTCACGATATAAATACATGAAGCAAACCTGTCAAAAAATTAGTCTACCATGTGCATTCGTTTATAAATTACCTATTTAGTTTATTGTTGAAGCATACTGTTAATTTATTTAAAATAAATAGTTTTACTGAATTTTATGATGAATTTTTTAATTGTATTTTCGGTGTTTGTGGTCGCGGCGAATGCTGCTCATTTGCGTAAGTGAAAAAAATAATAAAAAAAAATTTAATAAAAAAAAATATAAATTGTGTAAAGGTGTAAAAAAATATCCAAACAAACGTCCTGCGCATCGAAATCAGCACCAATTTTCAAATATTTTTTTAAATTTTAGTTAGGAACAACAGAAATCGAAACAAAGCACAATTTTGTATAAAAATAGTACAAATTTTAAAACATTTTTAATTTTTATTAGACACAACAATTAGAAATTTAAAAAAAAAAACAAATTATTTCCCAAAAATTAGTATTTTCGCAATATTTTTCATTTTATTATAAGTTGGCACGAATTTTCAAATATTTTTCATTTTTATTAGAAAGAATTAGAAATTTATTAGAAATCAAATTATTTCCAGAAAATTAGTATTTTCCCAATATATTTCATTTTATTATAAGTTAGTACGAGTTTTCAAATATTTTTCATTTTTATTAAAAAAGAATTAGAAATTTGTTAGAAATCAAATTATTTCCCAAAAATTAGTATTTTCCCAATAATTTTCATTTTATTATAAGTTAGTACGAAATTTCAAATATTTTTAATTTTAATTAGAAACATTAGAAATCGCAGCAAAACAAATTATTGTACAAAAACTAGTAAAAATTACCAATAATTTTTAATTCTAATTAGAAACATTGGAAATCGAAATCATATTGCACAAAAATAGTACAATTTTCCAAATATTTTAAATTTTGATTAGAAACAACAGAAATCAAAACAAAACAAATTGTTGTAAAAAAAATAGTACAAATAATAATAATAATTTTTAATTTTGATTAGAAACAATAGAAATTAAAACAAATTCAATTATTACATGAAAATAGTACAAAATTGCAAATATCTTGAATTCTAATTAGAAATAACAGAAAACAAAATAAAATAAATTAGTATAAGTTTCTAAATAGTTTTAATTCTAATTAGAAACAACAGAAATCGAACCGAAACAAATTATTGTATAAAAACTAAAACACATTTTCAAATATTTTTAATTTTAATTAGTAAAAACAATATCCGAAGAAACAAAAAAAAATTATAAATTTCCAAATATTTTTAAATTTCATCTAATATTTTACTTTGAAATATTTCGGCATAAAAAATTATAACAAATATATTTGATTTCGCAATCAATTCAATAGATACATTAATTTTTATTGAATTCAATTTTTTTATTATTTTATTTTGTTTAATAAATAAATTTAAAATCTATTTTGAACAGTAAATCCATTAAATCCAGAAAAGAACATCCCACATACCCGAAACGATTTTATAATTATTTATTTCTATTCTATAAGAATAAGATAGTTTCTTGAGAAAACAAAAAGCCTTTTAGTTCAGAAAAATAAAACATATATTTAATTCAGTTTTTTAATTAATTTATTTTTGTTTAATAAATAAATTTAAATTGTTTTTTGAACAGTAAATCCATTAAATCCAGAAAAGAACATCCCATATTCCCGAAACGATTTTATAATTATTTCTATTCTATAAGAATAAGATAGTTTCTATAAAACATGAAGCCTTTCAGTTCAGAAAAAAAAACCTAACGATTTCTTGAAAATAATTTAATAACTTATTTATAATATTCTTGTAAATTCTACAATTTTAACGAGAAATTTCCTACTTTCAGCATCAGATGTTCCAAGATGTAAAATGGAAGACAGCCATTGTTTACAAAATGCCATTGGCGAAGGCATCAGAATTATGAAAGATGGTAATTATACTCTACTATTTAACAATTTTAGATTTAGCCAATAGTACTCAAAGAAATAAAGAATTTGGAGAAATTGTCATCAGAAATTCCAGCAACTTGTCTTAAGGCACAATGCCACTTACACCCAGTTGAAATTATAGAAAAAATTACATTTGTGTCTTTGTATTTGTTTTTTTTTTTGGTATTTCAATAATTCATATATTTTATTTTATTCCAGGAAATCCAAAAATAAATCTTTCACCACTGGAGCCTCTGAGAATAAACGAATTATCAATTGACCAAGGGGGCAACAGTTCTGTGAGCATCCAACTTAAAATCTTAAATTGCGACATGCACGGTTTCAGCCAAATCAAAGTTTCAGATGTCGAGTAAGTAAAAAAAAATATAAATTAAATGAATAAACGACAATTACTAGTGTTTTAGAGATCGAGGTAAGGTGCTAAGGTGATCTCTTAGAAAAAAGGACTCCTAACACCCTAAATCGTCACAATATAAACCTTAAATAACAACTATGTATTTTCATAAAAATTGATATATTCTATTTTTTCAGATCTTTTTCATCTGAACGTGTAGATTGGCGTATCAAAGCCCTTGTTCCTAGAGTAGAACTTGATGGAGATTTCACCTCGAAGGGACGAATACTTTTATTCCCAATCACTGGCAAAGGCAAATGCAACCTAACACTTGGTAAATAGATACAAATCAACTACTTATTCTAAAATATATATATATATATATATATATATATATATATATATATATATCTTATATATAAAACTGGAGCCCTCAATCTAATGATTCGGTAAAACTCGAAAACGGCTAAACCGATTTGGCCAGTCTTAGTCTTGAAAAATTCGTGCCAGTCCAGAGATGGTCGGAAAGGTGAGATATTATTTCAAAATCGCGTAGAAACTTTACATTTTTAATTTAAAATTTTTTGTAGAAGCGTAATTTGAATGAAACAATGGACGGTGGCTAATACGTCAAATGTCAAACGTTTTTGACAAATGATGTTCAATTACGTTTAATAGGATGTTTTACATGAATATTGTTTAATTATGATTAAATTGTAGTAAGTAGCTTTGTTTGTAGTTTCATTTATATACAAAAACGTTAGTAAACGGGCCGCAAGTGTTACTAGAGACTCAGAATATAAACTTTTTTGATATGTTAATATGAAAATGCACTTTTTGGCATATTTTTCTCAAACACGGTGCTCTGAAAGATCTCATTTGTATAATTATATACTCATTGGTATTTATAAAACATTTTCTAGGTTATATTATTTTTTATTTATATTATTTAAATTCAGAACCTAAATTTGGTATCGATCAAAGGGACATTTTGTCGAATAACATTTTTCAGTTATAATTTCCTAGAATTTATCTAAGAATAGATAGTAATATATGAAGGTCCGGGGTTAAAAAGGTCCACCACCGATGTGTCAAAAACCAGTAAAGTTAAGCTTTGTTCAACAACAATATTTGAAAGTAGAGGGAAAAAAATGTATAACCAGCTATAACCTCGATTCTCATGATTTTGCTATCGGGAGATAAACGGTTATCTTTAAAAATCCATAATAAAAGTGTTTTCTGCCGTTGGTAGTTTTTTAGCATTAGTTAAAAATGTAATTATTTTGTAAAATACCTTTAAAATTAAAATCAGACATTAAATATGTTTGCCACCTGGCCGTTACAAGATAATAAATTTTTGAAATACAGCAAAAAAGTACATTTCTACAATGATGAAGTAGCTGACAGTTTTACTGAACGTAGTCAGATAATTGTTCGTTTAAAATTTGTTATTTGTTGTGATATAATTGGTTTGATTTTTATAATATAATTAGTATTTGCTCAAAGTCAAATTGGATCTTTGTGCCTCGCCCTGCTCTACATATATACTTTTTCTTAAATTTACTTTAATTCATCGAATGTTACTTGAAACTTTTCAAAAAGCAGGTCAAAGAAAGAACACTTAATTCATTTTCTATCTCTCTTTGCAGAAATTCGAAAATTTTGTATAAGTTCAATAGTATTATTTATAATTATACACAAAATGCAGAATCCAAAAAGAATCCGAAAAACTTGGAACGTAATGAATAAGTCGAAAGACCAAAAAATACTTGGATTGGATTATACCATCTTTTCTATACAAAGTGATTAAAACTTCCAGTTTGATTGTATTGACACAATATAGACAAACTAATGGGGTTTATTGTTTTCATAATACCTCATTGTACGAGTATATAGCATTCAAACAACACATCCTTAAATACTTAAAGTATTAATTTTGTTGATTCTCTAGAAATTGTTTAGAATATACCTTACTTAGCAAAGCAACGTTTGCCGGGTCAGCTAGTATATATATATAAATATATATATATATATATATATATATATATATATATATAAATTAATTCCTAACCTTATATTTCCAGTTGACTTGGATATTACAGCAGCCCTACGATCTGGAGAACCGGTGACTAAAAACAACAAACAATATTACACAATAGAAAATGTTGAACTTAAATTTCAACCCAAAAGGTACCACATTCACCAATTTAACTTATAAGAAGTAATTTAACATTTTTCAGTTTAAAATATTCTATTTCTTTCAGAATGTATCTAACTTTCAACAACCCAGACCAAGACAGACTTCTAGAAGACCAAACCAACAGATTTTTAAACGAAAATTGGAAAGATTTATTCGAAGAGCTGAAACCGTCCTTCCAGGACTCTTTCTCAGCATTGTTTAAAGAAATCGCAGCAAGAGTTTTCGATAGAGTTCCTATTAAAGATATGTTCCTTAAGTAAATTTTGGAAATACAAATGATAGAAGAAATTAGTACTTAATAATACTCAAAGATAAGATATAAGATTGAGGCGGAACACCTGGGCTTAGGATTAAGAATATTGGATACTGAGTGACTCTTAGTTTGAATATGTGTATGAAGATGTTATTTATTACCTTGATTTTAAGTTTGTTATAAAAATTTATATAAATAAATGATCAAATATGAAATGTTATACATTAGATACAACAAAATGTACAATATTAACACAATAGGTTATATAAAATGTATATACAAATAAAATAAATATATGAAACTGATATTCCATTTTGTGATAATTTGAGAACCTCAAGGGGACTTATAGTAATCGTCCAAAAATTTTGCGTATCTTTAGGTTTCAGAGTTTACTGAATATTTTGGCTGTGTGTGTGTGTACGTATGTATGTGCGGATACAATTTTTCGTCGAAGTTTTCTCAAGCAATTTGAATTATTCAAAAATCATTCGATTCCTATTAATAAGGAGACGTGGTGATTTCTTTTTGGATGAGGCAGGTCAAGCAGTTTCAGAGATACGGAGCAAAGAGTGCAGAAAATACAAATCGAGTTTTTGAGAGAACGGAGTACCGGATTTGAATTATCTAAAAAACATTCAATTTGTAATGCTTGGGAGAAGAGATGATTAGTTTTTGGCAAAGACAGGTCCTGCCGTTTCGAAAATACACAGCTAAATGTGCAAAAAATGGCAGTGTCCGATTTGAATGGTCTAAAAAACTTTCTGCTTGTATTGACAAAACAATTGCTTTTGAGGATAAAAAATTATTACATCTTTTTTTATTTTCCGTAAAATATTTTTGTAATTTTGGATTAAAAATTCAAAAAATTACCCAGGCTAAGCACAGTCTAAGCGCCACTTTGGTACAAATGTTTACTCAAGTGCGTTTAGACTGTTTATGAATTGGAACACTTTTCCAATTTTGTGAAAACTATTGAAAAACGTGGAAATGCCGCCAAGCTGAGCCCAGTATAAGTGAAAATGCAGCACAGAATTATTTGCAAGTGCGTTTAGACTGTGACTATACGGGAGCACTTTTTCAATTTTGTTTAAATTAGGCAACTATTTTTAGAAATTGAATTGGAAATGAAATGACGATTGTTAATGTTCTGGAGATAAATTGATTTATGATTTATGATTTACATTTGATTTGCTCAAATATAACAAGATAGCAAAAATAAAGAAAGTTACAGTATTTGTAATAATATATTTGAAAACGTTGAAAATTTCTCAAATATTTTATTACGGTACAGGAAGTTCCAGCAATTTGCCTTAAGTGCACCACTAGTTTTTCATTTAATTCAGCAAGAAACACATAAATTTAATAAATAAAACCTTCACAGTAATTACTCTGATAGTAAATTCATTTGAAAGTCTAACCACAACAGTGCAATACAAATAGATGATTTATATATTGAAACATAAATCATTCAAAAAGTATCAATTCAAAAATGAACATACCTGGAAATCTTCCTCCTTAAATCTTCTATTGTTGAATATAAATACAAATTTCTTATACGTTTATATTATCAAACTTATATTTTATAAACTTATATAATTAATATATAGATAGTTAGCTTATTCATCAGTCTCATTATCACTATGACTAAATCTTGACTTTTTCTCGACTTCTGTTAAAGTAACGGGTAACAAATCACCCCATTTGCTCGACCTCACACAATGGTAAGCCGTTCTGCAAAGAAATAATAAAAAATATGTAGAAAACAATATAACAAAGTATAAATGTATTATATCATGCAATATATTTTATATTTCTTCCTTCTACTTACTTTCCATGTTTAGCAGCAGTAACAACGACTTCTTTTAATTGACCATCAGAAGTGCACATTCTGCACACGGTGTGTTTCGACCTCACCAAAGTGGGCCTAACTATTCTCGGCCAAGTACAAGTAACAGAATCACCCTTGTCATCATATACTTCCTCATCACTTTTCACATTAACCTCATCGCTTGTACTTTCTTTCTTGTCAATATTAAGATTTCTGATCGATTCTTCTCTTTCAGAACTGAAGCGATTGAGTTTTTGCCTCAATTTTTTTTTAGTTAATACATCTGTTGATGAGTCGCTGATTGCTTTTTTTCTGAGAACTATGTAACTGAATCGTTCTGTTTTGATTTGGGATACAGCGGCTAGAGGTATAGTTGAATATTTTACTTCAAAATTGCATGGGGTTTCATCTGTCATGAATCGTGGACATGGTTTGGAGTGCGGACACTGAAAGATATAATAATAAATGATATACACATTAAAAATACTATGTAAATAAATGATAGATAATAAAAAAAACAATATTATAAAGTAACACCATAATAATTCTGTTATCATAACATTTTTATATGTAAAATACATCTGATCTCACGGAAAATGTATAGACATTTTCTTAATTTTCAATACCAAGAACAAGCATAAAAGACCATTGCCATGACAACGCTACTTTATGAGCTATGTTAAAGCAGAATTGCCCGCTTAGTTACTGTTGAATATGTTTTGTTACGAGTGATTATTAATATTATTACCGGGGCGAATATTTCTGCATCATATTGCAACAGAAAGTCTCGTGCTTCAGAAATCAATCTAAATCCAGCATTCGTTCCCATTTCTACGATAACTAAAAATTGTTCAGTTTTGTTCCACAATTTTACCAGTTTCTCCAAACGCAATTCTGGTGTCGACATTTCAAAAAGGGTGTAGGCACATAGGACTATATCGTATCTGATCTGAAAAATAGACAATACATAATTAGAATTGAATAATTGGGGAATATAGATTGTTAACTTATTCATCAGTCTCTCGATCACTAATACTAAATCTTGTCTTTTTGCAAAATGGCATTGAACACAAATTTATGAAATTACAACTTAATAAAAAAAAATTGTGACTTCGAATACTCATCTTCTATATATATAAAAATAAGTCGGGTTTTCCTTCCTGACGAAATAACTCCAGAACGCACGAACCGATTTCGACAATTTTGCATTCGTTGGAAAGGTCTCGGGCTCCGCAAGGTTTATAGCTAAGAAAATTAGTTGTGCATGGCATCGTGCCTTAATGCAAGCTGCTGGAACTTCACGCACCAAAAATTCAAGTAATGACATTAGTGAGAATTATCAGAATTATGGTTGGTTAAGTCAACGAGCACTTCTGGCCGCAAAGAATAATGATGTACACGCACTAAATTTCACCATTCAATTAAAAAATGCTGGCGATTTGGTGACATACCAATGATTCCGACTGGTCTTCCGTTTGACTTCAAACGATTGCAATTTCCAGTTCGCCTTGCGTTCGCAATAACAAATCGCAAGACCAATCGCTTAGTGTTTGCGGGATAAATTTAAAATAGACTATTTAGAAAATCATTGTTTTTCACATGGGCAGTTATACGTTGCCTGTTCACGAGTTAGAAAACCATCCGCTTTGTTTGTGTTAACGTCAGACCAAAAAACAAAAAATGTGGTTGACCAAAGAGCACTTCAATGAAACGGATAATTTGCGGATTCACTTTCACTTACTTAGAGAAGTTCAACTAAAAAACACTTAATTTTTGTAATCGAAATAAAATCATTACTGTTGTATAATAAAATCAAATTTTTCCTTTTCAAATATAAAGCAAACAAAAAATTTCTTTCATCTTCATCTTTCTCACGAAACCATCTGGTGGCGAAACGGAGTTCGTCGGGTTTGCTAGTTGGGTATAAAAAATGTTAAAAAATATCACGCCATTATTTCATTTAATGTATTTTTATAATTAAATTGCATGAAAATTTTCGTTAAAATCGTCAGAAAAAGTCTACAATCAATTATACAAAAAATTATTTAAATTTAATTGTTAGATGTTGATGTCAAATTCTTACCGAAATTGAATTCTTTCCGATACTAAAAGCTTTAACATTATATATCTTGTTTCAAACATTATACTATAACAACTTATACAGTTATTGAGTAACATTTAATTAAATTAATCGTTGCACAATTTTACAAACTTTCAAACCTCCATTTTAAACACATCGTTTGACCTCGTTGATTTTCGTTTTTGACGAAATACCACGGAAAAAAAATTGTCATCGGTCAACACTAGACAAATGTCAAATGTCATTAAATAAAAATGTAAAAGAAAACATTGCAACAAATCATATTATAAATAATTATATCAATAAAAAAGGATTAAAATACATAAACAATAAACAGAAAATAAATTAAAAAATATATATAAAGAAATGATAGTGTACAATTTGCATGTATGAATAATTGTGTAAATAACATAAGGTTATATCAACAAAGTTGACAGGAATTAATTGGAATAAGAATGGAAATATTTTTTAAAAAAGGTATGTTATGTATATTTATACTGTATGGAATATATTTCGCTTCTATTTACTGCTCAAATTTAAATCATGTGTAAAAGTTTTTGCCTTGATTTTATTTTTTGTGGAGTTTAGGCAAATTTCTACAATTACAATAATATGTAATCTGTATTATCACATAATTTCTAATTTATTTCTATATATTCATTGTATCTAGAGATATATATAATTAATTAAATTCTATTAGCACAACATTTTTGATAAATTAATTGATTTGAAATGAAAATGTGATTTATTTTATCACCTTTTAAATTTATTTCAGGTTGTGAGTTAGTGCTCCAATAAACAAAAGAATATCATTGTTAATTTGATCAATAATTTATTAAGAATGAATAACTTTACTGGTCCATATGCAGAACAAATATTTGCTCTAAATTTAACCAACAATAATTCAGAAAGAACAACATATACCAACAATGTCCAAATTAAAACCGAACCTTATGCTAAAGATTCCACTTACGTGCCAAAAGTTAAAACAGAAGCAAATGATTTTGAAGAAAACGAAGTGCAATGTAAATCTGAAATAATAGACCCCGAATACGAAAGGTTTGATCTAACAAATTCATCTATCAGTAATGATATGTTTTATCCGAATGCGCAAATAAAACAAGAAGCTTATGACTACGAAAGTACTACAGATGATAACTCCAACAATGTACCAATGGAATATGAAAGCCATGATTCCAGATTATACTACAGTAATAAATCTAATACTTGTAATACGTGTGGCAAAACCTTTAAATCAAATTATTCCATCAAAATACATATGCTAACGCATACGAACTACAGGCCTCATAAATGTCACATATGTGAAAAAGCCTTTAAATTACCGTCTCATTTACGAGAGCACATTCTGACTCACCAGTCTGAAGGCCCTCATAAATGCACACTTTGTGAAAAGACTTTCAATCAATCGAGTCATTTGAAAAGGCACTTTTTATTACATACCGGGCATCGAGCGTATAAATGTGAAGAGTGTGGTAAAACATTTGTTAGTAATGGTAATTTAAAAGAACATATGCTTACGCACAGGAGTGTGAGGGATTATGAATGCGACAGGTGCCACAGAGCATTTCATAGACATTCACATTTAAAGAAGCACTTGGAAGAACACGATACTGATAAGTACAATTACGAGAAAAAAGAGGAGTATATTTGTGAAAAATGTGGTAAAGTTTATAAATTGTATGCGGCTTATAAAAACCACTTAGAAAAAGAAGTGCATGAACCAAAAGAATATAAATGCCACATATGTTCTAAAGTGTTCTTTGAAAAACATAATTTAGGTCGACATATTTCAAGACACACAAAAGAAAAAGTGTTTGAATGCGGCATATGCAATAAAGGCTTCACCGAAGCCTTCAATCTTAAAAAACATTTAATAGTTCATACAGGAGAAAAACCTTATTCTTGCCAAATATGCAATAAATCATTTAGTGCTGATGCAAATCTAAAAACACACATGTTAGTACATTCTGATGAAAAGCCTTTCAAGTGCGAATTCTGCGATAAATTATTCAAAAGAGCATATGATGTTAAAATGCATCAAATGACCCATCAAAAAGTTCGTCCCTGTAAATGTGTTATCTGTGATAAAACATTCACTAAAGAAATATATGTTAAAAGACATATGATGAAATCTCATAAAGTATAATATAGTATGTTATTTTATTTGTTGTTATAAATGATCTATTAAATAGAAATGTGCAATAAAGTCGACCGGGAATCTTCAGAAGGAAGCCGACTTGAAAGAAATAATATATAGCTGAATTTATTGTAAAAATTATAAAATAATTACAGTTGCATCACAGTTTGTGTAACACCATTCTGGAAATGGTATTTGTTTTTGAATCTTATTAAATATTTTAAATACATGTGATATTAAAAATTGATGCTCTTTTATTACATATCTTATATATAGAATTTTTCTGTAATGATGTATGTATGTAGATATACTCCTCCTAAACTATTATAAGAATTTTGATAAATCTTTCTGAAGCTTGTTAAGAAAATTTTTTAGGATGTATGTGATTATAAATTATAGTAATATTGTAGAAATAAATTGAAAAAATAAAGCTCAAATTGATTCTACATTTTTTTAGTTAGAAAACGTTTATATGTGAAAAAAAAATCTGTTTTTATGGGTTTTCCGGCAATTATTCAATTTTTTCTCACTGTAAGAACCATCCTTGAACTACAATGAACATTTTAAAAAAAGAATTGGCCAAATTGGTCCAGGAGTTGTTTAGTTATGCGCTTACCAACACATTTTGTGATTCATTTTTATATATAAATATAAATATATATATATATATATATATATATATATTTAATTTATCAAAATTTACCTCTCTTGCTGCAGGCAAAAATTGTCTATATGAGATTCCTTTTATAGGGTTCAGTTTATTCCCCCGGCCACCTTTGAGAATAATATCAGCCAAGTCGTTCATTGAACTTGATGAATCAACACAGAAATATTCAAAAATGTTTGATTTCCAAAAATGGTTTACTGCCCATGTACCAGTGCCTACACCTGACCCAAAATCCAAGAAACTCTTTGGTTTGAAATCAAGAACCCTGAAAAAATAATAAAGAAACAGATTTAATAAAAATTATATTTTTAGAAAAATCATAATAATAATTAAGTAAATTGATGAAAGGAAGCACTATTACTTTAACATTTACACAAATAATATTTAATTACTGAAAAGAGTTAATATATTTTTAATTATGAATAAATTTAATTCTTTTTACTTATTACCAGAGAACATTGGAGTTCAAATAATTACTTTTATTACCTGTCATATATTTCTCCAAAAATTCTAACGAGTACAGCATATTCCTGAGCAGATCTTCCAAACATATAAGTCAGAGCTCCCAAATCATCATACGACATTGGCTTCCAGCCGTATATTTGTTTATTACATTTTACCATTATTTCATTATGCAAGAATTTCTCTTGTTTAACTCTTTCTTCTTCCGGCATGTCATCAGTAAATTTATATTTCGACTTTTCTAATATTTTTAATCTAATTTGTTCATATTTATCTCGCCTTTCGAGCTGTGTGGGAGGCGGGTGTCTTCCAGCTAAGTATCTGTTTAATTCTTGGCCATCATTTACCAATTTCTTTATTGGAAAATCTAAAACCACAAACATGATCCATATTATGAATACTATTGGCATTTATATATATAAGTATTTTATTATTACCTTGTATAGAATTTTCCATTGCCTTGATATACTCAATTGGAAGCTGAACATTTTTATATTTCATAACACCAGGATGTTTACGTGGTTTATAAATTGCATTCTGTATATCTTCGTTGACTTTTTCATCTAACAGTACAGCTGTTCGAACTGTGCTCATAAACTGAAAAAAGGTAATGTGATTAACAAACAAATAATTCATAAGATACAAACATTGTTAGATAAAAGTACAAGTTTATATTATTAAGCTAATTGAATGTGTTTGAAATGTTTTATACAACTTTACTAATGTTTCAAGTAAAAATATATTGTATATAATTATATTTAACTATTCTTTGTTAATAAAGATTTACATCATAAATATTATGTTGAAACCAGGGATTAGTTATAATAAGTGCAATGCAATAAGAAGATCTTGAACATGATCACTCAGGGTAATTGAAAGAATTACTGCATTCATTAGTTATTCTCAAACTATTATACAAATTAATTGTACGTTAGATGTAATTGTAAATGGTTATCTTATGCATCCAATATTCAAATACACGATAATACAAAAACAAAATATTCATCCAAACTGTGTTTAAATTAACTTAGAAGAATTGTTTTTATCTTAATCACAAGTGTATCTTTTGCATTACATCTTGCAAATGCTTTCAGGTTAGCTAAATACTATAATAAAAAAAATACTCAGAAATATCTTACACCATACCTTTATATTATAATATATTTTATTAGAAAACGAACTAATATTTAGTTTCAACATTTTAATTAATCATACATTAAATATATTTCATTTTAATTCAATTGACAACATAAATGAGAAAACATAACCTCAAAATAAGCATAATCGAACACAAACATAAATTGAACATATTAATTTTTACTATACCTTTACATTATGAAATATTCTATTAGAAATTAAACTTATATTTAGTTTCAACATTTTAATTAATCATAAATTAAATATATTTTAATTTAATTCATTTTATTCTTTTTACACATAACCCAACTTCAACGCATGACATTTGACAGTTTAACACATTGAAAGAAATACAACATAACCTCAAAATCATTATAGACCAGAATTAAATATTATAACGATAATTTATGAAAAGATGTTTTAATTTGAAATTAAATTCAATATAAATGTATTTATTGTAATTATATAAGTGTTAATATTTATAGGTAACTTAGGAATTCAATTAATTTGGAATTACCATTTACTTCCACATACATACTTTGTTGCAGCTCATTAATTACCAATAATATTATATATTGTTTATATAATATACTGTACCAATAATATTCAATAATATTATATATTATTTACACTAATTACCTATTTATTTTTTATATAATGACTTTTTTATCCTGGTTAAACATTTAGTCTGTTAGGATCTCTATTGTTTGCCTTCGGTTAATATTTTAAGTAGTTATTTTTAATTGTTTGTTTAAAATATGTGAATTAAAGAATAAATCGTACTACATAAAACCAAAATTGTATATATTTATCTATTCAATTCATTTTTCTATTTCACTAATTATAATTTAATTGATAAAGATCTACAGCAAGAAATGTATTTTTATAATTAATTGTTTTTTCAAAATAAAGTCTGTTAATCTGTAAAGTCTTAAATCTTAAAATATGTTTTAATTTACAGCTAATACTATAACATGTTCTCTTATTACTGATTTGAATTAAATATATAACAAATGCAAATAAAATATGAAAAAAGTAGTCGTAGGAGTCTCTGGAGGAGTTGACAGTGCAGTAACTGCACTTTTGCTCAAGCAAAAAGGTATACAGCTGTTATATATATATTTATATATATATATATATATATATATATATATATATATATATATATATAATATATAAATTTATTTATTTTATAGGATATGATGTTCAAGGTGTATTTATGAAAAACTGGGACACGGGCGAAGAAACTGGTGTTTGTACGACTTCAAAAGATCTAGAAGATGCAAAATGGATGTGTGATCAAATCAAAATTCCTTTTCGTGAAGTTAATTATGTGAAACATTATTGGAATGATGTCTTTAGGTAGATATTAAACTCTTGAGATTTTTATACTTGAAAACCTAAATATGATTCAATTGTTTTTTATTTTTATTAGTCATTTAGTTTCTGGTTACCAAAAAGGCTTAACACCAAATCCCGACATACTTTGCAACCGAAACGTAAAATTCAACCATTTTCTTAACTATGCACTAAACGATTTACAAGCTGATGCTGTTGCAACTGGACACTACGCTAGAACAACATTTGGACCGTACTTGGAAAACTATCAACCAGATACAGGTAATACAGTCAAAATAATTTCTATAATCTGTATGTAAGTATTTTTTATCTCTAGATGTGCATCTATTGGAAGCTTTTGACAAAACAAAATGCCAAGCTTTTTTCTTATGTGGAATCAGACAAAAATCTTTGAGACGTATAATGTTTCCATTGGGCGAATTAAGGAAGGTGGATGTTAAAGAAATTGCTAGAAATTCTGGTTTAGTCAGGTTGGCCAAGAAGAAGGAAAGTATGGGGATTTGTTTCATTGGGAAAAGGCATTTCCAAGATTTTATAGCAGAGGTGAGGGGATGATAATTGTTTTATATTGTGTTCTGTGAAAAATTTATAATATTTTCTAATCTAATTTGGTACTTTTAGTATGTCAATCACATTCCTGGCAACTTCATCGATGTGGACACTGGCAAAGTGGTTGGCACCCACAATGGTATCCACATGTGGACAATTGGACAACGGACAAACTTATCAGGGTTCAGCAAAGCCTATTTTATTTTGAAGAAGATTTCCCCTGATATTTTAGTAGTAAGTAATTGATTCATCTTGATAAATTTAAGGGGGTATTCTAGTATAGAGCAATGAATTTTAGGTCATTTTTAAAGTGTCATAAAAGAAAGCAATGAATGTTTTTACTATCCATTTTTTGTCACTTGTTTATTAATATTATTAAAATATAATACATTAATTAAAAAAAAAGTTGAAAATTGAAGAAACTGGCGGCTGATGAAGTGGGGGGTCTCAAAAAATTGGCACCTCAGTCTTGACATGATACCAGCCCTCTTAGCCATCCGAAATAAAAGAAATAAAAAGATTATGAATCTACAATGATGTCGCAATCGCCCGAACTAGCAATGAGTGAAATTTTTTTTTACAAATTGGCGACTGTTTGAAAAAAGTGTCCTTTTCTACTGTTTTTTTTTTTTATTCTTTTTGTTATTTTTTTATTTTTTGCATTTCCGATGGCTAGGAGGGCTGAAATCATGTCAAGACTGAGGTGCCAATTTTTTGAGACCACCCACTTCATCAGCTGCCAGTTTTTACAATTTTCAACTTTTTTATTTTTTAATTTTTGTTTTCTATTTTGATAATATTAATGAACAAGTGGTAAAAAATGGATAGTAAAAACATTCATTGCTTTGTTTTACAACACTTTAAAAATGACATAAAATTTTGGTCTTTTATTTTTTAGGCTGCCGGTACAGACCACCCCAGATTGCACACAAAATTTGTTTTATCCCACGAACCGAATTGGATTTGCCACGAGCCACTGGAGTTGACCAAAAACAAAATATTGGAATGCTATTTTCGGTTTCAGCATACAAAACCTTTAATTCCGTGTCGTATAGTTAAATATTCTGTAAATAAATTGTTTATTATGTTAGAAAAATCAGCAAGGGCGATAACTCCTGGACAATATGCTGTTTTTTATAAAGACGGTGAATGTTTGGGAGGCGCTCAGATTATTGGACCGGGACCATCAGATATTTATTTTAATGGAGAAGAATTATGATATAGAACTATAATAATTAGGTAACAGTAATAGAAAAATAAAATAATATTTTCAAGAGTAAAATGTTGTTTGTAAATTTATGAGGGCTTATAATAATATTTTAGGATGGACATTATTATTTAATACACATAGTTTTTAACTTCCCGAAGGGCAAGTTATAGTAATCGCAAAAAATCGAAAATAAAATTTTTTATACATCTTTACGTTCCAGAGGTTTCTGAATATTTTGGCATACCTTAGAAAAAATGGATGTATCTGTGTGTTCGGATACAAATTTTCGTCGACGATTTTGGGAACACGGATGAAGCGATTTGAATAATTCAAAAAACATTCGATTCGTATTGATAAGGAGACGTGCTGATTAGTTTTTGGCGAAGGCAGCTCTAGCCGTTCGGAAGATATGAGGCAAAAGAGCCGAAAACAGTAACTCAGTTATTAAGAGAACGGAGCGTCCGATTTGAATAATTCAAAAAACATTTTACTTGTATTACCAAGATGAAGAACTGCTCAAATTTTCATGAAGGCAGGCCTAGCGGTTTCGGAGATTTAGTGAAATGCCATCTACAAAAATGCCATCTGGCGGTCAAAAATGATCATTAGACATATGCACATTAAATTATCAGATATTTTATAGAGATTTTAACAATATGTATACATTTTGTTTACATTGCTATGGGTTCCGTACCACCGTTTATCCGATAGACGGCGGCGCGGCGCTACGCGCTTCGATATTTCATCACTGTACAGTTAAAGCGTACGATTGCTTTGAAAAAAAGTTCAGAACTCCCAAAACATTTCAAAATACACTTTTCTTCAAAGTCTTTTTTCAAAAAAAAGTAATTTTTTTAGGAGAAATCACATATTTACAAATGCAATTATCATAACATCACATGATACTATTGTAGGATAAACAAAATAGTTGGAAAAATAAATCAGAATAAATATAAAGTAATAACGAGTTGTTTTAAACACATGATGTGTTTCAATATAGCGCCACAAGCGTGTCATATATATTATAAATATAATAATATAAACATCATAAAAGTTTTTTGTGATGAACAAAACTAGTTTATTAAGTGATTTAAAATCATTAAAACTTTGTTAAATATTGTACATCGATTTAACGTTTTCTTAAGCATGGCCGACAAAATGCCTCATGTGCGTACACCCTAACATTTATTATCACAAATTCAGTCAAAATTTTGAACGTAGTATGAAATTGTAATGACATTTGTAAATTTTTTTGTAAAGAATAAAACTAGAATTTAACTTTGCTAAATATTGTACATCGGTTTAACTTTTTCTTAAGCATGGCCGACAAAATGCCTCATGTGCCCGTACCCTAATATTTATTTCTACGAATTCAAAGTCAAAATTTTGAACGTTATGAAATTGTACTGACATTTGTATAACAAAATTTGTTTCGTTACACATTTTCAAACCTGTAAAATTTAAAGTGCACGCATTTAACCTAATTAACTTCTAAATCCTCCTAAATATTACATAACCCTTATCTTTCATAAGGTCGAAACGCGACAAATATCTGTTCATTCCTAGTTTAGCCCTCCCGCCGCTAGGTGCGCTCGTATCGTTTTCCGGTTAAAATGGCTCTCGCCTCTATATGCCGACAAGCTCGCTCTCTTTCTGTCTATCAGAACAAATTCGCTACTCGTACGACGCGTCAGTCTTCGATTGTTCTTGATTCAGTTCGCGAATTTTCAAAGAAAATGGGTCTGCCACGAGTTTTCTTCGACATGACCGCCGACGGCGAGCCGGTTGGAAGAATCGTTATGGAGGTAAGCGATAAAAATAATATCATAGTTCGATTATTATATTTAAGGCTAGGATCGGCGAACGGGTGTTTCGTGGCCATAACCGACGCCTCGGTGCAAACCAAGCCGGTTTGGCGAAAATGCCGGTGTTTTGTAATTGATTTAGTGTTTGCTAGTGTTTATTTGATAATAAATCGTGGGATTGATGGATATTTGTTCGGTTTTTGTGCCATGAGGTTTTTGGGTTTATGGCGAGTGACATACGACGCCCTGTTTTTACAAGTCATCGTTGTAGTAACACCACGTACGCTTTGTAATTGTTCTAGAAGAATCTTTTTGTAATAGACACGTGTTGTAAATGTATTTTTGTTATTGATGTTTAATTTTTTGATGAAATTTTTGTGGTTAATGTGTGCATGCCTGTGGTTCCCAATCTGTGGGTCGCGACCTTTCAGGGGGGCTCAGGGACGTATAGTTACTTTTCCAAATACTATTAGAAAATAACGTTCAAATATGAAAAATGAATGACTGTTTACATTTTTATGCATATTTGGGCATAATTCATATTAATTTCTATATGAATTAATTACAGAAATTAAGTTGGGAAGTACATGCAACTTTTTCTTCAAAATAAATTCTTGCTTACACCAATTATAATTAGTTCATTTTTTAAAACATGTTTTGTAAATATTAAATTCTAATTGGCTTTTCGATGCTTAAGTTTACAAAGGCTGCTTTAACTAATGCTTGCTTCATAGTCATTTCCTTTGAAGTAAATGTTTTAAGCGATTATTCTGAAATACTACTTTATATATAATATAAAGAATATAAATCTAATATAAACATACACCATGTATGTTTAAATGTTTGTTCGTTGTTTGATAATTATCAGTACAGCGAGTTGAGTTGGGCAACATAATTCGAGAAACTTATACATTTGAATAAAAATGTATTCACTTTTCAGTTGAATTTATAAACTTTGTACACGATCTTTTATTATAGACACTTCTATATATGTATACAGATACAAAGTGTACTAGAATGGAACCCCATTTTTATTTCCCAATTCAGATTATTAAACATTTACTTTTGCTTACTTTATTTTAATATTTATTTTAATTAGATTATTCAGTTTTGTACTAAATTTTGCAAATACGTTAATTTAGATATTATATTTGTGTGAAATAATACTTTGCAGTTTGTACTAATTATACAATTTGCAATAGTTACCTAAAATGTTTTTTTAAAATTTTCAATTAAATTTTTGCCGTAAACCTCTTGGACTCCATGTTTAACTGATAGCTGTACTACAGCTTACTATTACATTGTGAATCTAAAAATTGCTTTTTTTTCAAAGCAAATTGTTGCTTATACCAATTAGAAGTAAATACTTCATTTTTTACATCTGTTGTAAATATTATTTTCTCATTGGCTTTTTGATGCTTGAGTTTACGAAGGCTGTTTTTTTTTTAATTAATGCCTATTTCATAGTGTTTTCTATGAAGTTAATGTTCTAAGCTAATATTCTAAATTAGTACAGGTGTGTAGAAAATATACACCAGGTGTGTTTAAATTCTTGTCCGTTGTTTAATAATTATCAGTACAGCGAGTAACTATTACAGATTATTCAATTTTGCACAATATTTCCAAGTATGTTAATTCAAACATTATATTTGTCTAAAATAGTTTTCGAAAATTTCTACAAATTCTACAATTTGCAATAGTTACACAAAAAGTTTTTTTTTAACATTATCAAATTGACGTAGACCTCGTGGGTTCCATATTTAACCAGTAGCTGTTACTATTGTTTTGCGAGTAAAACTACATGTTACTTGTATGCAATTTCTAAGATAATTTAATGATTATAATAAACAATAACTAAATAATTATCATTAATCTTTTTAATATCTTGATAAAGCTAGACCTTTTTTAATGTCTGTTTTACAGTTATTGAAATCTTCTTTTAATCTTGGATTTTCAATGTCCATAATATTATAATAGTCTTGATTATAACAGCCAGAAAATATCTCAATAAATATCTTTACAAACTCAAACACATTGAGACCACAATTGTATGCTCCATCTTATGGATTTTTATAAAAATTCAATCACTTTCAGTTGTATCTATAAATATTCTACACAACCTTCTATTATAGATACTTGCATATATGTATACACATATCAATTGTACTAGCGTGGATTTCATAGACTTCCATAGTCTTTTCAATACCATGGACCCTTTGATGTGCACATGAATTATTAATAATAAATTAAAGCCCATTTTATAAAAAAATTAATGCCATAAGTAGATATTCCAAAATCTACCAGTATATTCGTTTATTTTGTTTACAAATTTTTGAACTATTTGTCGGACATGCATAAAAAATTATCAGTTGAATTGAATAATTTGCAATAGTTAAAAATCACTCATATTGATTCATGTCGTTCATATAAAATGGAACCACATGTTTTAATTTTTATTTTATTCATACTTACAATTAATATCAAATAATTTGACTTCTCGAAAAATACTATTATGACTATTTTGGTGGAACTTTCTATGAGAATTTATGTTACGTTTTTATTGATCCCTGTTTGTTTCTTTTATTAATTTTTAACTGTACTACAGTTAATAATTAAATATTCAAATTTTACTTTTATACATTTATTTTTATTACTCAGCATTTACATTTTTTTAAAAGTTGTATAAACATTGTCAAGTGAAAATAATTCATTTCTGAAGGATTTGTGAAATGAGTTAATGCTGATAATAATTCTTACCTTTTTTTTGCATATTTGTCATATAGGTTAGTTTCAACAAATAGATTGAAAATATGCATTTTCGAATGATGAATAAACCATATGAGAATACATGGAGTGTATTTTTTCAAATAGCAGTCACATAATATTTTAGAATGATTTATCTAAGACCTAAGTTACCAAACATTTATCGGGCATGGCATCTTTGGTTTTGTCAAGACGATATCCATTTTTTATGAATTTCTGACTGTACTAAAATTAAACATTTAAAGTTAAAATGTTACCCTGTATACATTGCAATATTTTTTCAGCATATTGCATTTTTTTTACATTCATCTATAAAAAAAATATTTAATTAAATTTAATTATTAAATATGTATTTAATTATTAAATATTAAACATCTATTTTTGCCTACTTTATTTTAATATTTCTAATTCAATTAATAAATGCAACAAGCAACATGTATTTTCACTTCAAATATTTAATATCAAATTTTAGTACATACAATCAAAAATTTATGTGAAAATGTTAACTTCCATAGAAAACCCTTTACGACCCACAGTTTAGGAACCTATGACATACATGAATAATTATAAAATATTGACTGCATTTTAAATAATCTGCAAAATGTATTGTTTATTCTTTATTCAATAATGTATAATTTTTAAACTATTTGTCCAAACTAACCTGTTTGACAAATTTTGCAAAAATAAGTATTATGATCTACAGCAACTCGTTATACTTATAAATTGTTCAAAAATGAATTTAATTACTTTACTTTAATTTTTTTAAGCAAAATGCTACTTAACATTAATTTGTCAAATCCTGTTCATATGTGTATCATTCAATCTGCCATACATATACTGTATCTTATATTATTTTAATTTCTGGCACATCTCAACTGGTTTTTGGCAATAATAATGTAGATATTTCGTTTTGATTATTCTTTATCATGAATTCATTATACATATTCTAATATTGTCTAGGCTCATAGGTGAATTGAAATTTTTGACATGCAGTTTTCGCATGTTTTCTATGCCAAACAATGTTTCAAATATTTTCGATGTCAGACATGTCGTCTTTTGCAATTTTTTCTATTTATTTCTACAATATTACTATATTTTTATTGTCACATACATTTTGAAAAATTCCTTAACAAACTTCAGCAAGATTTATCAAAATCCGAATAATCGTTTAGGAGTATATTTACATACATCATTACAGAAGAATTTTATATATAAGATAAATCTTATTCTGGAATTGAACCTAAGGGTAAATTTACATACAGAAAGAATAATGATGTAATTTCATTTACGTTCTTCTACCTTTTTATAAAAGTAATTTCCAGTAATTCTTTTATCTTAACATCTATCCTTTACCCTTCAGCTTCGTAACGATGTGACCCCCAAGACCTGTGAGAACTTCCGCGCCCTCTGCACTGGCGAAAAGGGCTTCGGCTACAAAGGCTCCTCATTCCACCGAGTCATCCCCAACTTCATGTGCCAAGGGGGCGACTTCACAAACCACAACGGCACCGGCGGAAAGTCCATCTACGGAAACAAATTCCCCGATGAGAACTTCACCTTGAAACACACCGGCCCAGGCATCATGTCCATGGCCAACGCAGGCCCCAACACCAACGGATCCCAGTTCTTCATCACGACTGTCAAGACCACCTGGCTGGACAACCGTCACGTTGTCTTTGGATCGGTTGTAGAAGGCATGGATGTCGTGAAGAAGCTGGAGAGCTATGGATCCCAATCGGGAAAGACTAATAAGAAGATCGTCATAAATGACTGCGGAGAATTGCCATCATAAATATGTCATTTATTTGTAATCTGTACATTTTTTTGTTCATTCAAGACTACCTATCCATTTTAATGTAATATAGAAATAAAACGCTTTAATATTCCATTGTCGGGAATGTTTTGAGTTAACAGGTTAAACAAAGTTTTTATTTGTATGTCATGTTTGAATTTTTGTAATTCAAAAGAAATATATACTTTCTAAGTAGCAGCTTTTTTTAATGTGCAAACCTACCACGTCCTTATCCTCAGGCCGTAGAATCATTGCATGTTAAATAATGCTCTAACAAACTTAATAATAAATATTAAATCAGTTTAATATTGTAATCACAATTCAGACATTTTAAGTTGCACAATCTGCTATATTATTTTATTTTTGCTTATTGGCTACCATAAAAAAATGTATTAAAGCAGTAACACTTATTTTTATATTCAGTTGCTTTTGTGAATTTTCAAGTGCAGTACATTGGTTTTTTGTATTAAAAAAATACTTGTAGAAATAATTTGAGGAATACTTGAATAAATAATCTGCTATATTATTTTAATGATTTAAGACAATCAAATACCTGACCAGCTTTTATATCGAACAATGTGTGAGATGTTCTGTAAAAATTGATTTAAAAAGTGCTTTTATTGTGTGAGACTCTTGTGGAAATAGTCTGTTATTGAGACAATCAGAAATCAAACCATGCGGCTAATATACTATCTTTAAAAATTAGGAATTTCTGGTGAGATTTTTAAAATATGATTTAGTAGTTTTTTTGCATGAGACTAAAAATATTTTTTTTTTCAAAACTGCTTTATTATTTTAGTGCTATATTGGCAGCATAGTGTTATGCAACTATACAATTGCAATTATTCTACAATTTGCAGTATTTATAAAATAATCAAAACAGCAAAAACTTCATTTTGTGCAGTATCAGGTGTGTGTAGTTGGGACTTTTGTAAAAATTGGTTTATCAGATTTTTTATTGTGTGAGCCTCCAGTAGAAATAATTTGTGGTTGAGACAATCGAATACCAAACCAGCTATTATAATCTTAAACAATATATGAATTATGGTGAATTGTAAATTATGGCATTGGTTTGTAAAAATTGGTTTATCAGTTTTTTATTGTGAGACTCCAGTAGAATTTGTGGTCAAAGCAATTTTATACCAAAACTGCTTTATTATTGTTTTTGATATTGGCTAAAATTTGTTGTATTTATAAAATAATCAAAGAAGAAACTATTTTTCAAAGAAATAAACAAGGGAGTAACTATTTTTCAAAGTTACTATTTTCAAAGAAATAACTATTTTTATAATTTCAAGTGTGTGTGTTGTGTGATACTCTTGCAGAAATAACTTGTGATTGAGAATATCGAATACCAAACCATCTATTATGTAATAATATCGAATAATATAGGAATAATGGGTGAGACTTGGTTTTGTAAAAATGTATTTAATAGTTTTTTTATTGTGTGCGAGACTCAAATAGAATTTTTTTTTCCAAAATCAATTATTTTGTTAAGACAAGCAGAAAGTTCTCTGAATCATTTAAATCGGACGCTTAGTTCTCTCAAAAACTGCCATTTTCTACATATTTAGCTCCGTATCTTCAAAATGGCTGGGCCTTCCTTTGCCAAAAACTAATAAACACTTCTCCCAATCATTACTAATTGAATGTTTTTTAGATCATTCAAATCGGATACTCCGTTCTCTCAAAAAGTCGATTTCTATTTTCTGCATTTTTTGCTCCGTATCTCCGAAACGGCTGGACCTGCCTTTGCCAAAAACTAATCAGCTCTTTTCCCTATCAATAGGAATCGAATGTTTTTTGAACCATTCAAATCTGTTGATCCGTGCTCCCGAAAACGTGTCTGGAAATTTGTATCCATACATACATACACACACACACACATCCATTTTTTCTGAGGTATGCCAAAATGTTCAGAAACCTTTGAAACGTAAAGATATATACAAATCCCTGTCGGTCTAGATGTTTGTTTTTAAATACTTTTATATTATAAATTAGATACAATGGCTGGTAGTAAACATAGATGCGGTAATATGCATTAGGTAATAGTCGGTAAAGTCGTCTATCCTATCCACTTTCGGGCTAATCGTTCGTGACCTTGTCCGTTTGTGTGAACATAAGAACATCTCATGGAATATTCCACGCCATGGTGCTTGTATGTATTGAATATGTATGTGCATTATGTATTATGTATGTGTTGGAGTTGGTGAGATGGAAGATACATACTAACAAATACTAATAGACTGCAAAGAAAGGGCAGGTAAACATTTTGTTCCGACTGTTTTGTATTTGTGATTTGGACAGGGTTTGGAAACGGTTAAACAAAATTTAAGGAAAGTAGAATAGACTAGTCGTGCTGGCATCGTGCCTTAAGGCACTTAAAACTTCAAGTACTGTAAATTGAAATTTCTAAAAGCCTAGAAAAAAATTTGATTTTTTTGAGAATATTGTTGAAAAAATAGAAAAAAATCGACTTTTTTGAAAATTTTAAATTTTGTGATAAATTGGAATTTTATAAATTATGAACACTGGAATTTTTTGAAATCTGAGTTTTTGAAAATTTAGATTTTTTTAAGAATGTTGAACTTTCTTGAAAGTTTTTGATACTAGTCAGACAATTATTCTGGTATAAGAAATCACTTCGAAAAATCCTATAACAAATTTTTAAATTTTTCTTAAAAAAAAAAACTTGTATTTTGACATATACACGTACATACATACATACAAATACCTCATAAGATACTCATAAGTATAAAGAAAAAACAAAATCGTCCTTAATATTTTTTGTCTCTGATATAATTTTTCACTTCAGTTTTGAATTTTAGGTCAGTCATTGCTCTTATTAATTATCAAGTGCTTTATATGTTTTTATTTTTTACTTTTCAAAGGTAACCTTTATAGGGATGTTACCCTTGCTTTAAATATGTGATTTCTAAAGATGCGACTTTTTTTGGAAAATTTATATCTTTTTGAACATTTTGATATTTTTTGATCACAGGACTACCAAAAATCTAAAATTAAAATTTTTGCACATATTCACGTTTCAGAGGTTTCTGAACATTTTGACATAACTTAGAAAATGGATGTATTTGTATTTATGTATGTATGCACAAATAAAAATTTCCGTCGAAGTTTTCGGGAGCATCGTTCAACCGATTTGAGTAATTCAAAAAACTTTCGATTTGTTTTTGACAAAAACAGGTCCAGCCATTTCGGAAATTCGGGGATAAAAGTGCCAAAAATGGTAATTCAGTGTTTGAGAGAACGGAGCGTCCGATTTAAATAATTCAAAAAACATTTTCCATGTATTTATGAAATGAAGAACTGATGCAATTTTTGAAAAGGCTGGTTCAGCGATTTAGGAGATACATTAAATAAAAGTAAGAAAAAATGCCATTTGGCGATAAATAATGGTCACTAGACATATGCACATCAAACTATCAGATATTTTATAGACATTTTAATAATACCAACAAATTTTGCTTACATTTCTATGGGTTCTGTACCAATGTAGCTACGCAGCGCGATTGCTTTAAAAAACAGTTCAAAATTTTCAAAAAACTTCAAAATATATAAAAAAATCTAGTTTTTCAAAAAAGTCAATTTTCTTCAAAATTTTCAAAATTCTCAAAAATCTAAGTTCCTTAAAGTTTTCAAAATTTTATAATTTTAAAGATTTTGTACAAATTTTAATTTTCGGTTCAGGAAGTTCCTGCAATTTGCTTTAAGGCACGACGCCATGCACCACTAGTTTGTTATTAATGTGAAATATTCATCACTTTTATGTACAAAATGTTCCTCAACTCTTCCCATTAAATAATTGATAATATTTATGTTGTAATATGGATCTTTTCCGATGGCGATGATTTATTTACGAATTCGTTCTGTCGAAAAGCGTTTGTTGGTGTTAATCAATGATCCACAATCAATATAATAACCCGATAACCCGTTTTCACGATAAATACAGCTATTTAATAAAATATACTAAAACTGTCTATAATAGAACTACCAGTGGAGGTAAAAGAATGAATGAATGTTTTATGAGAGAATATTTTTGGATCGATGGAGATATAGATACAATGGCTGTCTTGGGTTAAAATTATTTTAACGTCTAATATTTCAAAGAATTCTGTGAGACATAACATTCTGTGAGTCATAACATGACACCTGTATTACAATATCATTTCGCAAAAACGATACCGTATTTAGACATTGCGAATTGTTTCATCAATGCATAAATTAAAATATTTATGCATAAAGTGTAATGATCTAAAAACATATTTTGGTCATAATTATGGCAGACACAGATGAAAATGAGTGATTTAGGAAAAAAGCTTTTTTTTACCTATATGTAGCGAGTTGGCTGATACAATATTGAGAACAATTTTTAATATTAGGTTGTCAAATATCTCCCTTCCGCTTTTTTGCTCTTGGTTTATAATACAAAAAGGCGGAAGGGAGATATTTGACAACCTTATATTTCAATATCAGTTTGAATAATTTCCCAACATTTGTACCTTTTTATATCAGTATATAAAGTACTTTTCTACTTAAAATCAATTTGTGGTTTTTAGTAAAGATTTTGAGTTTTGTACGCTAATTTGTACCCTTTGGGACCAATCACTACCTTTTTTTAGTTGAACATTTTTGCAATATTTTTAAATTTTTATACCGGTATGTACTTTTGAATACCTTTTTAATAGATAAAAAAAATATAATAAATAGATCACGAACATAATCGCTTTGCCAATACTTCAATTTTAATTATTTACGCACTCCATAGAGGCGCCACTAACTGTAGCACGTAAATCTACCACTAGTTTCACATTCTAGATAAGATTTAATGTATAAAATTTGAACTTGGTTAATTTGACTAAAAGAAATAAGAACTAAATATACGCGTTCAAAATATATTTTCAACTAAATCACAAATACATATGTTTTTACATATATTAGGTTGTCAAATATCTCCCTTCCGCTTTTTTGCTCTTGGTTTATAATACAAAAAGGCGGAAGGGAGATATTTGACAACCTAATATATAATAAAAAAATATTAAATTATTAGACGTGAAAACGTGATAAATTATAATTTGTGGGAGTATTAGAGGCTATTTCAAGTGTGAACAAATATTTAATCATTATCAGTTACACCTGATACAAAATCATGGGCCGATTCTGGCATAAA